AGCTATTCAAAGTCTTAAAAGATGGTGCTGTGAAAGTGCTGCACTCAATTTGCCAGCAAATTTGGAAAACACAACAGTGGCCACAGGATTGGAAAAGGTCAGTATACATTCCAATCCCAAAGAAGGGCAATGCCAAGGAATGTTCAAACTATCGCACAATTGCACTCATTTCACACCCTAGCAAGGTCATGCTAAAGATCCTACAAGCTAGGCTTCAGCAGTACGTGGACAGAGAACTGCCAGAAGTACAAGCTGGGTTTCAAAGAGGGAGAGGAACTAGAGAAAGCAAGAGAGTACCTGAAAAATATCTACTTTTGCTTCATTGACTATGCTAAAGCCTTTGATTGTGTGGATCACAACAAACTATGGCAAGTCCTTAAAGAGATGGGAGTACCAGACCACCTCACATGTCTCTTGAGAAACCTGTATAAGGGTCAAGAAGTGACAGTTTGAACAGGATATGGAACAACTGATTGGTTTAGTATAGGAAAGGAGTACAACAAGGATGTATATTGTCCCCTTGCTTATTTAATTCATATGCAGAGTACATCATGCGAAATGCCAGCCTGGATGATTCAGAAGCTGGAATTAAGATTGCTGGGGAAAACATCAACAACCTCAGATATGCAGATGATACCACTCTAATGGCAAAAAGTGAAGAGGACCTAAAGAGCCTCTTGCTGAGGATAAAAGAGGAGAGCACAAAGGTTGGCTTGAAACTCAACATCAAAAAACCTAAAATCATGGCATCCGGCCCCATCACTCCTTGGCAAATAGGAGAAGTCATGGAAGCAGTGACAGACTTCACATTCCTGGGATCCAAGATCACTGCAGATGGTGACTGCAGCCATGATATTAAAAGGTGCCTGCTTCTTGGGAGGAATGTGATGGCAAACCTTGACGGCATAATAAAAAGTAGAGACATCACCCTGCCAACAAAAATCCATATGGTCAAAGCAATGGTATTCCCAGTAGTACTGTATGGCTGTGAGAGTTGGACTATAAGGAAGGCTGAGTACCGTAGAATAGATTCTTTTGAATTATGGTGCTGGAGAAGACTCTTGAGAGTCACCTGGACTGCAAGAAGAAACCAACCCTGACTGTTCCCTGAAAGGTTAGATACTGAAGCTGAAGCTCAAATACTTTGGCCAAATGGGAGCGCTCACTGGAGAAGACCCTGATGCTGGGAAAGATTGAAGGTAAAAGAGGAAGGGGACAGCAAAGTATGAGATGGTTAGGCAGTCTTATCGAGGCAACAAACATGAAATTAAGCAAACTCCGGAGCACGGCGGAAGACAGGAGGGCCTGGCATGATGTAGTTCATGGGGTCGCAAAGAGTTGGACTCGACTGTGTGACTGAACAACAATGGGCAAGTCGTGCCTTGATAAATGAAATAAATAAAATAGAGGTATTTGAAAGATACTCAGCTGTATCAGCCAGGGCTGCTAAGAGCCATAAAGGTCCCCAAACAAAGATTTCCCCCAGGTCCCCTTAATGTTACTCAGCCCCAGCCCCCAAATCATATGAAAACTCATGACTTGCCCATTTCCATGGGCTCACTGGAATTTTGCTCCCCTAGTTCATTCTGAGATTAAATATGTATTCATATTGGTTCCATAAAACAAATTGCAGTCACTTGTTCCCCAAACTAATTGCCTAACCAACAGCCTAAGGAGCCAATAAAATAGATGGGAAGACCCTTCTATTTCAAAATATCTATCAGCCTTATATAACAGGATATTTATACCATCTCTCAGTACTGATTTCATGATCTTTGTTTTAGCATTTCCATGAAACCAGCTGAACACATGCAGCTTGCCTTAATTTTGTCTTTCTCTCCCACTACACCCTGAAAGAAGAAAGATTGCATACAATACTTCATTAGATCTTATTCTTCAGTAAATAACTCCATTCATTCTATCATACATCTGTCAGGTGGCCAATTTCACAACAGTTCAGATTTGCCTTCACGGCAGCTGTCTTGCCTGATCATTTACACAGTCTGAAATGCTTATAGAGCAGCTAGGAGTTAACACATCTTGCCAGTTTTTGAGCAAATCATATCTAGAGGACATGCCTGATTATATCAGTATCTACTAAATTGGAAAGAATTAGGCCAGTGCTCAGAATTCATCATGTTTGGGGGTGAATGGCTTAATTTCAAAAAGATGTTCAGAAAAGCATCCCAGATTCTTTAGATGTGTTGACATCAGGATACAGGGTGGCTTTTGCTCATGCATATGGCTTAATTGTCAAAGCTGTCTTTCTCATTTTAATTTCACCTGCCAGAAAGTCAATAATAATTGATTAAGTTTTGTAAGAAGATTTCTTATCTGTTACCTTTGCCCAAGAGAGCAAATCCATAGTTTATCATATGCAGCATTTGTTGACACACTCTCTTAGCCTTCAATAGCCTCAAATGATAATCTCTTGTAGAAGTAGACATAATTTGCTTATATCATCAAAGGCTTTGATAACTGTCTTCCAGGAAACTTTGGAAGAAAGCCCACAAATAGGAAGGTGCAAAGGTCAGATTGCTAATAAAAGCACTTGTATAGTTGAAAAGAAATTGGGTAGTCATGAAAGGTTGGTTTCTGAGGACCCAATTAATACAGCTGCAAGCTCCCTGGTTGAACTTTCCTTCTGTTAAGAATTGTTGCTTATGTGTGTTAAAACATAACATGGAAACTGGCTCATAAGATACATCAGTCTTTTAAAAGACATAAAATGAGAGCTAATGTGAAGGAGCCTCTTAACAGAAGGAAAGTTCACTCATGGCCCTACTAAACTCAGTCCTTAAACCTGACCAGAAGCCTGCAAGGGGATTACTCTAAAACCATTTTTTTTTCTAAAGATGTTTTTATTTCCCATTCCACCCTTGCTAGCCCAGCACACTTTATCGTTACAATGATGATTCAATCACATTTTTAAATGAGCAGTATGTTACAGTTCTGAATCTGAACAGCTAACTCAGACAATTTTGAGTCTGAGCAGCTGGCTGAATTTGGTGTGTCAACTATCTGTGTAGCCACAGTCAGCACATGCCCACAATTCACTGCTTTGCCTGATTATATATGCCCCAGGGTCATCATGAGTAGGCCACAGATCATTTTAAAACAGCTGCATTTTCAACATGTATAATGTTTTTGTACCTGTACAGTCAGTTGTTGGCATTCCCCAAGCTGAATCAAACTACAGTTACCAGACAGTTGTGCAGACTATTGGTGATCCAATTTAGAACACTCTGTTCAAATGAACATGTTCATCTTTCAGAGTCATGCAAACAAAGTGTGCAAAGCTGGACTATTAAACAGGCAAACCTCACAGTGTCCTGTCCCACCTCCACCAGACCAAGACAATAAAACAAAGCATCTCTTTTATAAGTTAACAAGCAGGGAACCCACAATGACTTCTGGGGGGGTATCTCATTTTCCCATGTATCCTCTTCCCCACAGTGTTTCCTCTTTCCCTTCTACTGCCAGTCCGTGTATCCTATCCCCTTTCCCTGCTTCCTTCTCTTCTTCCCACACACCAACATTGCCTGCTCCCTTAGTCCTCAGCTTTAGTGGTTATTTAATTCATTTAGACACTGGCTGGGTCTCCAACGGGACCCAAAGTAGCTTATATTGTTCTCTCCTCCTCCATTTTATCCTCAGAACAACCCTATGAGGTAAGTTATGATGAGTCTGAGTGACTGGCCCAAGGTCACCCAGCAAACTTCCATGGCAGAGTGAGAATTTAGATCTGAATCTTTCAGGTCCTAGTCTAAACCGTTAACCACTGTACCATAGTGGTTTTCATGTGGTGGCTGCTGTTGAACAGTAGTGAGCAGACAGTCCTGAGTGAAACACAAAACTCATGGGGCATCAAGTTGCTCCTGGTTGCTGCCAGGCCTAGTTTCAATAAGTCCTCCCTCAAAAGCCAAAACAGCCCTGAAAAGGTCCTTGTCCCCTCTCCCTGCTTTTTACTGACAGAAACCAAGATTTCAACTAGCAACCTAGCAATGTCCACAGAAGTGCATTTGTTTGTTAAAGCACTGTAGTGGTTTTTTTTTTAGATTTCAGATTTTTCTGCAAACCTGAGGCTTTTCTCCGATTTGTAGAAAGATCTGTCTTGTATGTTCATGGCTCCAGTCTCTGGATGTAAGTTACTACAGATGGGGCCATGTTGAGAATTAGATATACTGATATTTACTGTTGGGAGGGTTGGGAAGGCGGTAACAGAACATGCATGCACAAAGCATTTGCAGTACAATTGAAAATAATATAGAGTGCTTGTCAAACAGTGAGCATTTTCCTGAGTATTTGAGGGTGTTGGAATTTGAGCAAAGTGCTGGCAGATCTATAAGCAAATTTACATCTATACAAGACTAAAACTAATGAACTTGCATAGGAGCCAGGCTTTGTGGATTGCCCTACAATAAAAATTGCTCCTCATCTGCCTAAGAAAGGTATATTTTAGTCTGAAGCAAATATTCCACGGGGCAGGAATCTTTCACCCCTGAGTTTTAATCACTGTTTAGCAGGCAAATAATGCATGGCTTTAGAGCAATGCTCATTATAATACTGACCTTCTGAATAGATCTGAAAGCATGCATTAGAAAGAAACCACTCAGTAATATTTATTTTTTTAAAAAGGCCCCCTCATCCTCCAAAAGCCTATGTAAGTCAGAAGAAATTGTGTCTCACAATTCAGTAGAATGCATTTTTAATTAAAGGATATTTGTACTTTTAAAAGTATGTGGTATTATGCTTCTGCTTGTTCTCAAAGCTTAAAAAAAGGTTATTCTGAACTGACAGAGTTCTGAGTGCCTACTTTTGCAAATTAGGGTTTTTTTCATTTAGAAAGGCATTGTCTAGCATAGGGCAACACACTGACAAGTAGCATTTGTTTAGGGTATCTTGATCATTTCTTCTGATGGAAATTGTAGATGTAATATTTCTGCATGTTGATGTACAAAACTTTTAATTGGGATATTTCCTTTTTTGTCTCCTTCCAGGCTGTCGATATTCTTCTGCAACATGGTGCATATGTCAATGTTCAAGATGCAGTTTTTTTCACCCCTTTACACATTGCAGCCTACTATGGCCATGAGCAGGTACATCAACTGACAGGATTTGACAGAACTTGTGGGAATATTTATTAATATGCAAGAATTGTCAACCGCTGCTTCACAAAGAAGACAGATGGATATTGTTCATACATGCATAAGAATCATGTAGAAATAGTAAACAATCCATTTATTTAACATATTAACGTGCCTGACTTTCTCCTGAGCATCTCAGTGATCTGAAATAATATGAAAGTTTGGTCTGTGGTATTTCATCTACTGATTGCCTTAAATGTTATCACCTCATTTGGCCTTGCATGCATGGCAACTGGGGGGGGGGAGTCAGGGGCAAGGACATGGAGGGGTGCTGTCAGGTGACAGTGTGCTGTTACTTCCAGAAAAAAATCCAGAAGTGACATCACACCTCTCTAGGAATTACTGGAAACTCTTTGGTAAATAGAGTTTCTGGTGATTCCTCGACCTGGCTGAAGTCACTTTGTGGTTTTCCCTAGAAGTGACATCACACCATTGCCCAACAGTGATATTTTTCATTATTTGTCTCCCACCAGTGGTAGAAGCAGCAGTGGAAAATGGGAGCTGGATGTGGGGGATCCTCCGCCCATGTCAGGAGAATGACAAGCCTGGTGTGAACTCATCTGTGTTGATCTGTTATTTTCACTTGTTTCGAGAGAGGAGAGAATTTTCCTCGGCATCATGAGTTCACCAGTGATCAGAAGACTTTATCACACAGCATTTGCAACACAGATCAGATTATACTACAAGAATCAGAATTGATATCAGCTTTATACCTCATTTAGATGTAATTTGTGAATCCTCATTGACTCGAAATATACTTATGCCAAAGGCCTTTCCCAAACCATTAGACTACCCCAATGGTCGTATTTATAATCTACAAGATCCAACTCCTTTGCAATGCTTCATGGGGGTTGACTCTTGGATACCTGTGTATCTTCAGGCAATCTAAGAACCACACCCCAGCTTGCTTCGCACATCTTCAATAGAATACTGTCCCCTTGGTGTTATTACCTTGGTGTCATCACCTGTTAACATGCTCTTCTCTGGGGAAAGGGTATTGTCCAATTACCACCAAGGAAGAATGAGCAAGGCCAGAAAATGGTGCCAGATGCTCCTGTGTTATCATTGTTTTCCCCTACACACTGTATATCTGCATACCAGAAGATGAGGGAAGGCAGTGACTGTGAAGAGGAACAGCAGGACTTCACTGGCTACTGGTGGCCTCTGCTGAATCATGGGCCTTGGCAGGAACCTGTTGATGCTAACCCCTGATGCCACCGTGGGATCGCTTGTGCACTGGACTCTATTCAAACATGACTTCTGCATGGGTTCTGTGTAACTGATAGACTTTTAAAATGAAAACAGGGAGCTGTTTCCTGAAGTGATTTAGAATAGGCAGAGTCCAAAGGTACAAACAGCTGAAAATAATATATCATATGTTCAGCTGCAGTAATGGTATGCTTTCCTGAAATGCCGAAATATATATTTCATACAGCTGCATTAGAAAGACCTTTATGTTTTAGGCTGAGACTCTTTTAAATTATGCTACAGGTCACTTTTGGGGCAACTGGTCACAGTTTTGTAAATTATGCTAATCCACATGTGGCACTTTTATGATAAGGGTTTCCGCTTTTAAGAAAGAGCATCTAGCGCAAACGTATCGAATTAATGTGCATTTACTTTATTTGCCACTTAGGTCAGTTAAACTAACAGGCTTGTGCCTATGGCCAGCCCCATGCATCTGTGTTATTTTAAGAAAGAAATTGGCACCTGCAAACAATTCACTATTCTGTGGATTTGTAGTTTCATTACAAATGGGCTCCACTGCCTCATAACAAAAGGTACATATATTCCAAATGATGGATGAAGCAAAATTTCAAGGTACACGCTCTACATACTGTCTTTTGATTTTGTGGGAAATATCCTTCTTCCTTACCATTTTAACACAAACAAATACAATATTGTTAGGTAACCCGACTCCTGCTGCAATTTGGTGCTGATGTGAACGTGAGTGGAGAAGTTGGGGACAGGCCCCTCCACTTAGCTTCTGCCAAAGGATTTCTCAATATTGTAAAGCTTTTAATGGAAGAGGGCAGCAAGGCTGATGGTAAGTTATTCGAAATGTAACCTTAAATGTGATATTTTGTGTCAATCTGTGACTCAAAATCTGGAAAACTGCCCCAAGCCAATATATGAACTGCAGGTCTTGTGCTTTTCACGCTTTCCATTTTATCCTTTTTCTCTTACACTCTCCTCCTTTCTTTTGCATTCTTCTCTTCACCCTCATATCTCTGCATTATTCTGTCTTCTAATCCTCCTGGGTTAGCTCTGTGCTTCCTTTGGCCTGCTGTCCGTTCAGACATCTGCTGCCTTTCCCTGTCCCTTCTGCCTCTCTGACCCCTCTAGAATCTGAGCGCCCCAGTCAATTGCAACCAGAGACTTTATCACTACAACAAATGCTCCTTCATGCAATTTAGTAAAAATATAATGATCTTCTTTTCTTGGAACTTAGGCTAGATATTGAATGCTACCTGCTAGGGGGGGAGCAGGTGATTTCCTTGGTTTCCGTGCCCCTGCTGTGGCCTTTCTGAAATATTTGGTTGCCTGTCGTGAAAAACAGGGTGCTAGATTAGATGGACAATTGGTCTGATCCAGCAGGGATCTTCTGATTCTCTTGTGTTCATCAGGACATTTTATACTTTAAAGTATTGGCCTATGTGTATGCCCTTATATAGCTAGTGTCTAGCATATTTTAGTTCCAAAAGAGTTGCTGAGTTAATGTATTGGTCTATGTAATAAATAGTATGTCCCTCTGTTACAACAAAACAAGAGAGTCACCCAGGAACCAGCAGAGAAACCACAACACCATGGCAACCAGTGGAGCCGCGGTCCGGCTCCTCAGCGCGGAAAGCCCTGGGAGAGCCAGCCGCTGGCAACCCGGAGGGTTGCAGTAGCATTGGCAGAGCACAGCCCCTGGAGCGTGCACCCTGAAACCTCGCCCCAGTGAGCAGCAGCGCGGGCATCACGGAGAGCTGAGGGTGGACACGGCGAGGACCCCAGGTGGCGGCACTGGCGGTGCGGCCCCTGGGCCAACAGGACTGCTGCCGGCACACTGGCGACCATACCCAGAACACCCAGACAGCGTCCGGGCTTATCACTGGGGGCGGGGCCAGACTGGGAGTAGAGGGGGCAGGAAACACAGGCGGTGCCGGGAGTGGAGAAGGGGGAATAAAAGGAGAGAGATGCAGAGGGGCTGAGGAGGAGAAATGTGTGACGGAACTGAGCTGGGAGAAACAGAAAGCGAGAGAGAGAGAGAGGGAGAACGAGAGGTATCCTGCACATGCCAGAAGAGGGACTTAAGGGGTGGCGTTAACTCCCGTCCCCTGCCTATCTGAGGCCCCACAGCAAAATCCTCCTTAACGAACTCTCTCCAACTCCTAGGACCGTCTGCCTTGGTGGGTAGCCAGATGCCACGGCCATGGGCGGGTCAGCTCCTGGGCCACAGACAGAGCATGACAGCGTTATTTGCCTTAGCAACAAGGAAAATCAGAATGAGTTTAGTATCTAACGCAAAGTAGAAGAAGTATAGGAGTATACTGATATTTTTCTATTGTCTACATTACCATTTTATGACCTGATGAAAAATGTTATGGCCTATGGCTAAGACAATAAACTTATACTATACTATAACTATAAATACATATTGATGGGGTCCAAACTGGAAGAGACTGACCAAGAGAGAGATCTTGGAGGCATAGTAGATAACTCAATGAAAATGTCGAGACAGTGTGCAACTGCAATAAAGAAGGCCAATGCTATGCTGGGGGTTATTAGGAGGGAACTGAAAACAAATCAGCCAGTATCATAATGCCCCTGTATAAATCAGTGGTGTGACCTCATTTGGAATACTGTGTACAGTTCTGGTCACCACACCTTAAAAAGGATATTATAGCTTTGGAAAAAGTGCAGAAAAGGGGAACTAGAATGATCAAAGGGTTGGAACAATTCCCCTATGAAGAAAGGTTAAAACACTTGGGGCTCTTTAGCTTGGAGAAACGACGGCTGAGGGGTGACATGATTGAGGTTTATAAGATTATGCATGGGATAGAGCAGGTAGAGAAAGAAGTACTTTTCTCCCTTTCTCACAATATAAAAACTCGTGGGCACTAAATGAAATTGCTAAGCAGTCGGGTTAGAACAGATAAAAGGAAGTACTTCTTCACCCAAAGAGTGACTAACACATGGAATTCACTGCCACAGGAGGTGGTGGTGGCTTCAAGCATGGACAGCTTCAAGATGGAATTAGATAAGCATATCGAGCAGAAGTCCATCAGTGGCTATTAGCCACAGGCTGCGGCAAGTGATGCTCTGTATTCTTGATGCTTGGTGGGGGGGGACAACAGTGGGAGGGCTTCTAGTGTCCTGGCCCCACTGGTGGACCTCCTGATGGCCTGATCCAACATTCGCTTCTCTTATGTTCTTATCATCTTAAATACTGACATTTATTAGGGCATAAGCTTTAAGGACTATAGTGTGCTTAACCAGACACACAGTGTGCCCTCAGTTGGCCATTACACACACACACACACACACACACACACACACACACACGGGTTTAAAGAAAAATTGTGAACAGTGGGGCCAAAAGACAAGCTTAATGTATACCAAACCAACACAGTGGGTGCAAAGAACAGCAAGGAAAATATACCACTGTCTCCCTAGACTTGCTAAGCTATTTTAATGCGTACTTTGTAAGAGAAAAACAGAACCCCACTTGAAGACCAATGGGACAGTATACAAACTTTCTAAGACAATCTAGTTCAGTGTACTGTATACTTTATTTGCCTCTAAAGTTATTTTATTGATTAATGTACCTTTGAGGTCAACACCAGTGCCCTGGGAGATTCAAATGGTCTTGCACTGGTTTTTGAATGTTGCTGTCTTTAATGTCAGATTTGTGTCCTTATTTTGCATGGGGACTGACCTGTCTGCATATGTCACAGTATAAAGGTAAAGGTTTCCCTTGCTTGAAAGCTAACCATATCAGACTCCAGGGGGCTGACTCTAGGGGGGCAGACTCCAGGGGGCCGAAGAGCCAGCGCTGTCCAAAGTCGTTTCTGTGGTCATGTAGCAGGCATGAATAAATGCCAAGGAACACGGAACACTGTTACCTTCCCACCGAAGCAGTACCTATTTATCTACTTGTAATTTCTTGCTTTTGAACAGCTAGGTTGGCAGGAGCTGGGGCCAGAGACGGGAGCTCACTCCATCACGCAGCACTAGGGTCTCAAACTACCGAGCTACAGACCTTCCAGTCTGCAGCTTCAGTGTCATAACCTCTTAGCCGCCACGGCACATGTATCAACAAATAAAACAATTCCAAGATGGTGGAAAAAAGTGTCCTAGGGGGTTGCAAATAATCAAGGGTGTGAGAGTACCAGACTTCTTCTTGTCCCACTACTGTCCTCAACCAAATGCCTGATAGAACACTTCTCCCTTACATATGCTGCAGAAAGATAACAAATCCTACAGGGCACGAATGTGCTCTGACAGAGAGTTATACCAGCCAGGGGCCAGGGCTGAAAAAACCCTGGCTCTGGTTGAGGCCAGCTGGATCTCTCTCGGGCTGGGGGGCACCAGGAGGTTCTTACTTCCCAAGCATAGCACTCTTCTAGGGCCATACTGAGAGAGGCGGTCCTGAAGGTGTGTGGGTCCCTGACTGCTAAGGACCTTGAAGGGCAAAACCAGCACAGTGGAACCTGATCCAGTACTCCACTGGAAGCCAGTGCAACTCGCACAACACAGGTTGAATATGTGCCATCCGAGGGGTCCCTGTAAGGACCAGCGCAGCCACATTCTACATCAGTTGGAACTTCCAGGTCATCCTCAAGGGTAGGCCCGTGTAGAGCAATTTACAGTAGTCTGTCCTGGAGGTGTATTTGGAAATCAGTAGTCTATTTGGAGATCATTTGGAATTGGAGGTTGGTAAGCCTGGGCTGTCATTGCAACTGTTAAAGTTTCAGGACCCATGCCAGGAAAAGAAAAAGGCAATTCTGTTTTCATCTCTCTGGTCTACTGTGCATTTCACCATTCACAGAGATGGCCAGTCTGCTCCTCCATCTCTCTCTTCTCTTTCTTTTTCATCTAAAATGCATGAAACCATATGGCATTCATTTTTAGGCTTTCTCATGCAGCCCAGTAACACTGGCCTTCCTAACTCTTGTTCTTCACGCATCTTGTTTCTGCAGTATCATTCTGATAGTGTCCTTGTGACTGTAAGCTGCTACACCCCCGTCCTACTGATGGGTACCTGCCACTATAAATTTAACATATTCTCTGTGAGTCATGAAAGTATTACATACCTCCTACTCCATCATTAAAAAACTGTAGAAGCAGCATGACTCAGATTTGTAAGCAATTCTTCTTTCTACCAAGAGCCCTTGATATTTAAGGCTTGGTGTGTGTTCATTGAACCATTATAATTATAATGCGACTGTATATTCACTCACTACACAAAGCATAAAAGGGTATATTATTGGTTAGTTAACTTATTACTAAAGAGGAGAAAATTAGGACACTGGTGCATATATTTATTTTAAAACCTGCATCATCTTCCTTGAGAAAAGAAAGAGAGAGAGAACCTGGAAGCTGAAAAAGCCTTACCCTCAACATAGCACATTTGGAGACTTGAAATATCCATGGCAACTGAGGACAGAGTTGCAGGCATTAAAGAAGGAAAATAATTCATTATTTACAATTAGCCAAAGATAAGTTGAAAGCAGCTTCTAAAATTCAGTCTCTGTAGTTTGACCCATTTGATGTAACAAATTTTGACTGGTCAGCCATTTAGAGTCAGACTTCGAGGTCACAGAAGCAAAAGGAGAAGAGCAGTGACTGTGCAGGCAGAACAGAAAGGTCACCCTGCTTTCATAGTTAGATTTGAGTCCAGTACCACCTTAGAGACCAACAGTATTTTCAGGGTATAAGCTTTCGAGGGTAGGATGCAAAGGTACAATGCACAGAGCAGAGGGGAAATGTATTTGGCCCCCAAAGCATTTCCCCTCTGCTCTAAGCAAGCTGATTACAATATGCAGTCTACATTGGCAT